GTCCCAGTGTCCCACCCCCCCGCCCCTAGCTTTCTGAATCTAGGGTGGGGGTAGGGAGGAGTGAGAAATTCGGGGCAGCTCTCCAACCTCTTGTGCCGCTGAGCGAACCCCAACATGTCATTAACCGGGACGTCAGACCTGCCTAACCAGAGGAGGGACATCCGCCCCCGGGCGCCCCCTGGCGGAGGTGGGGGCCTCGTAGTGCCCCATGGGGGTGGGAAATGTCGAGGGTTTGCGGAGGTCATTCTATTATAGAACCAAGGGCAGAATTCCAGAACAGGAGGCTGGATTCTGGCAGCTTGCATGGCCCGGCACTTACGCATTAGAGTGGAAGGGGTACACTGAGTTGAGAGATCACGCAGGCAGCAGAGTCGGGGTTCAGGTTTGGCCTCCCCCTTCCTCTGCAGCTCTGGGGGCTGAGATTCCATTCGTTCCTACCAGATTTTCTGCCTGACCCTCTCCCTCCCAGAGCTCCTTGTCCTGACCCTACTCCCATCTGTCTGACCTGAGGTTTTGTGGGAGATAAGGGAGGGATAGAAGCTAATTCTGGAGGTGTCTGTCTGTCCTTTAGACTGGGGAGGGCAGGGCCAGGCACCTCCCTCTGGCTATCTTCCCCTTCTCTCCACCCCTATGCATCATGTGGGGGGGTTAAGAAGGGAGTGGGGGGAGGCAGGGCCATCTGGTGAGAGAGGTGTTTCCTAAAGTCTGGGCTTTAGGGACATTCGGTGAGAGCTGCACCAAAATCTGAAATAATAGCTCTGTCGCCAGGTTCAGGGCTGGCAGGTAGACTGACAGGTTGGTTCCCGCTGTTCAGAGAAGTCTCGCGTGATCCATTGCCCAAGGGTCTCACTTGGAACAAGGTTCGTTGACCCTAGGGAAGGACTCCTCCCTCAGTGGGGAAACTGAGGCCAGAGAACGGAAACTGCCCACGCGCTGGGATCTTTCAGAGTGCTGTCTGTCCCTGTCCCTAAGTTGTTGGGAATGATACTGGCCAGGACTCAGAGGGGATTTGGGCTCTCAGGTCTGCGGACTCGGGAAGCTAAGGCTCCCAGGTGTCCAAACGTAGGGCTTTTAGACTCTCAGAAAGGATCAAAAGGGCCCTTTGAGGAGGGCGAGTACTTACTCCAAGAAGTCTTAAGCCCTCCGTCTGGACCAGACCCTGCGTTATCTTTTTTTTTTTTTAATAGATTTTTGGTATAGGGTGCGTGCACTTGCTGGAGAGACAGAGAGAGACAGAAAGAGAGAAATCACCCCCCAGGGGGGATGGCCACACCATCCCTTCTCCTCTCAGGATCTTGGGCACGCATGCATATGTGCCCAGCGTGCGTTTCAAGCCACTGGGCCCAGGACTGGAACCACAGTCCCCGGGGCGGGAGTCAGTGACATGTAACCATTGCGCCATCTGCTGGTTGGACCCTGTGTTATCTTAATGAGCAACCAAAGAAGGCTGGTGATTAAGAATCCTGTGTGTGCAAACTTTATTTCCTACACTGTGGTGTGCCAAACACTGCACGTAATTATGTCACGCAATTCTCACACCTCTTGGAGAGGCAGGGGTTAGTTCCCCATGAGACACAAGGAGAAACTGAGGCACAGAGAAGCTAAATAACTCGACCTAGAGGCTTAGACACGTGACGGTCTTAGCCCATCCGCAGGAATCCGCTGAGGGGGAAGCCAAGTCCTGGAGTGGGAGGTGCCGGTCCCAGAGGTCCCAGCGTCAGTCTGTCGGGACAGACCGAAAGATTCCAACCTGGGTGTTCCCGGGCCAGCCTGGCGCTCTGAGCCGGTTCTCGCTGAGGATGTCTCACCAGATCCTAACCACAAAGAACCCGGCTCGGGTGCAGACGAGGCCAGGAAGGGAGCGCTAGGGGTGGAGCGGAGAGGACAGCCCAGGGGAGGTACCTGGAGGTGGATAGGGCGCTAGAGTTGGAGGGAAGCCCCGGGGAGAGGACCCACCCGGGGGTGGAGAGCCGGGGCAGGAGCCTGGGAACAGAGACTCGGCCTGCGCCACCCCCGCCTCCGCCCCAGCACTCCGCCCTCACATCCTGCCCAGCCGCGGGAGGGGCGGCCCCTGCCCAGGCCCGCCGCACATTCCTGGAGCCTGAGCTCAGGCGCTGTCTGCAGGACCGGGATCGGGCGGTGACCTGGAGCGCCCCCTGGAGGCCCCGATACCCCCACCTCCCGTGCCAGCCGCCGGCATAGCCGCACACCCAGGGCTGGCATTTCCTTAGAGCCAGAGGATGTCAGCGTGGAATCTGAGAATCTCAGAAATGTGGGAATCATGAAAAGGACCGCTGGCTGCCGGAATGCTGGCTCTAGGAACTGCCTACAATTGTTTACTCTCGTAACAGACACGAAGTGTTTCCTCTTTATCTCTGAGATCGTGAAAGCCCCAAATTTTGACTCCCAAAGTCTTCACTTTCTGAAGCCTTAGTTCACAGAGCCCTGAATTCCTCCTGCACCTTCTGACCAGGTAGATCCTCACAGTATTCCGATAAAGTGATCTGGTACTTGTCACCGTTTTACAGGTCAGGAAACTGGGGCACTGTGGTCAGAGTCAGAGATTTGGACCCTTGAAGTTGGCCTCCTCTCCTGGGCTGTTGCCCACTCCATTGTACCATCCACCAAGGCTTCTGGGAATGCAATCCTGGGATAGACAGAAAATGATGCAGGGAGAATTCTAGGCTAGCAAATTGTAGAGTTCTAGAATATTCCTGGAACCAGCAGGTGGTGTAGTGATTAAAGTGCTGGACTCCCACATGGCCGCCTGCAGTTTGAGTCCCAGTCCCGGCCACTTGAAACTCACACCAGGCGCATGTGCATGCGTGCCCAAAATCCTGAGAGGAGAATGGAGGAGAAGGGGCTGTGGTGCGGCCATCCCCCTGGGGGGTGATTTTTCACTTTTTTTCTCTCTCTCTGGCAAGCACACGTGCGCTTTAGCAAAAATTCTCTCTCTCAAAAAAAAAATTAAGAGTTCTAGAATGTCCCTAAGATAGACTTTTGACCTCAGAACTTTCTAGCATTAGACTCTCAAGCTGAGGGGTTTAGGCTCTGTAGAACTCTGATTACAGTTCAAGGACCTTATGGCTTCAGAACCAAGGCCTCTTAAAGATGGATGAGTTTTTCTTGGGACCAGCAGTTAGCGTAATGGCTATGTCTCTGGACTTCCATGTGGTTGACCGTGGTTCGAGTCCCGGACCCAGTGGCTTAAACTCATGCTAGGCACATGTGTGTGCATGCCCAAGATCCCGAGAGGAGAATGGAGGACAAGAGATTGTGGCATGGCCATCCCCCCTGGGGGGTGATTTCTCACTTTCTGTCTCTCTGTCTCTTTCTGTCTTTCTGGCGAGCTCACATGCCCTATAGCAAAGAACTCTCAAAAAAAAAAAAAAAGATTGATGAGTTTGTCTCTTTTCACTGTTGGGGAAACCGAGGCGCATGAAGTAGAGAAGACTCGTTGCCCAAGGTCACACACTCCCAGTACACCCAAGTGAGCTGCCAGCCCCAACAGGTTCTGTTCCCGTGGCTTTCCAGACAGAAGCTGTGTCAGCATGCCCCAGCCCGCCCTGCTGCCTACGCCCGTACCGCAAAGCTGAGCGGTTGGCGCAACAGGGAGGTGGCGGGGCTGGCGGGCATGGCAGCTACCATGGGGATGCGGATGGTGCTGGCCTGACTGGTTCCTGGTGGCCTAGCTCCTTGCTTCTGAGCCAGTGACCACAGCTGCCCATCCGCCCCGGCCACCTCCCTGTTCCTCCTGCTAACAATGGATCAGTGTGAGCCAGGCCTCCCCTGGATGGGAACTCCAGGGAGAGGAAGCCGAGCAGTCGCTGGACTCCCGGGCCCCTCCAGTTGGGTGGAGATGACAAGTGAGATCCAGGTATGAAACCCAGTCCTATCCATTTTCTCCAGAGAGACCTGGAACAAAGGTGTCTGAGCCTTTGGTGCCTGCAAGAGTGATTTTAAACACCGGCTGGTATATTGAGGATGAAGCACTTTGACAATTGTAGAAGGCAGTGGTTCCCTGATTAATGTTTTGTGTGTGAGTGTGTTTTACACGATACCCCAAACAACAGGCACAGTTCCTGGAACATGGTAGGCAGCATGGGGATCTTACTTTGTATGATAGAAAGTGTATGCACGGAGCCGGCAGGCAGCATGGTGATTAAAGGCACCGGATTCCCACATGGCAGACTGTGGTTCAATTCCTGGATCTGGTGGCTTGCTTTCTCACTTTCCCTCTCTCTGTCTCTCTCTGATCAAACTGGAAAATAATAATTATAAATAAAGTTAAATAAAATAATTATTTTTAAAAAAGAAAAGAACGCGTGTGTGCAAGAGAGAGCACAAAGGCATCCTCCATGGTCTTGTCCCGCTGTAACCGCCTCCTCCAGTCCTCCAGCTCCTTAGGGTCTTGAGCTCGGCCTGTTTTCTGGCCAACCTGGGATCCGAACTTGAAAGTGGCGTGTGGTTTCCAGCAGGGCTAGTGCCCAGAGGTTGGGCCGGGAGCACAATGATCATTTTACCAGATATCCCCAGCCTCTGACTTAGTGCCTCCTGGTCCCCGGTAGACATTCAGTAGTCGAGAGCATTTTCTTCTGTGTTCACCGGCACATCGTAGGTGGTCAGTAGGTGACTGTTGAAGAAATGAGTCAAATCTTGTAAGGTTTGAGGAGAGGGACAGGAGCCTAACAGAGTGAACTTTCCGGAGGATTCTAGAACGGGTTTGGACTTCTAGCTGGTGTACGGACTGGGCTTCAAAGCAGTTGGCATTTCCAGCTGGGGAAGGAGCCACCCTAGAGGCGCTGTCCTGCCCCTCGCGCTCCCAAGTTCCCAAGGGCTAGGGCGAGGGCAGGCCTGGAGAGGCGGGGTCTGAGACGGCTCCCCCTACCGCAGGAGCCCCGCTCCAGGAGCCCCGCTCCGGCCGGCACCATGGACAGCGAGGCCTTCCAGAGCGCGCGGGACCTTCTGGACCTGAACTTCCAGTGTGAGCGGGGGTAGGGGGAGGGCTTCCTGGGCGGGCCCTCGGGGGCAGAGACGGAGGCCTGCTGGGCTGGGTGGGCTGGGTCTTGACCACCACTCCCGCCCCCCCACCCAGCGCTGGCCATGAAACACATGGACCTGAAGCAGATGGAGCTGGACACAGCGGCGGCCAAGGTGGACGAACTGACCAAGCAGCTGGAATCGCTGTGGTCAGACTCGCCGACGCCTGGCTCCCAGGCTGGAACCCTCCCTAGGGTGAGCCTCCCTACCCTGACCCCAGAGCCAGCCTGGCTCCCAGGCTGGAGCCCTCCCTAGGGTGAGCCTCCCTACCCTGACCCCCAGAGCCAGCTGTTCTCCACACCGCAGGCCGGAGACCTGGGTTTCAAGCACAGTTGCCCCATAGATTGTGCAAGTTGACTGCTGTTGTTCGAGGGCACTTGAAAGGGGGGACTTGTGGAGGTGGGCATCTCCAGGGCCCCGGAAAGGAGAGGAGCCTTTTCCTAAAGCGCACAAATCAGCGAGTCGCACTGGGTTCAGGACTGGCCCCAACACCCCTCACCTGGCTCCCTGCCGGAATTTCCAGCTCCCGCTCCAACCTCCCTGGGCGGACTTCTGATGCCTCTTTAATCCCTCTTCTCCCACCGACACCTCCACTGATGTCTCTTTTGACCTCTAAACGCCCAGGTCTCCCCACAGATGTCTCGCTTCAGCTCCAGCCCGGTCCACGAACCCTTTAGTAGTCGAGGGTCCCCCCGGAAGGCAGCCACTGACGGCGCAGACGCCCCGTTTGGACGGTCCGAGAGTGCCCCGACTCTGCTCTCCTACAGCCCGCTGTC